ACCACAAATGAGCCCAAAACATATGAACGGGGTAAAACGCTGAAAGGATCGGTGTAAACAATTCACTCAGGGACGTCAAGAATTTAATCATCGGGCCAACAATTGACTTAGACCGAAGGGGTACCTAAAACGAACGGTCTTCCAGTGTTTTCCTTGTGTCGTTGGCAGTATTTATGCTCAGTCAACGGTTCGTAGGTTTAAAACTAGTGCACTGGGACCCCTGCCTGCAACGGTCGTAAATGTGAAAAATGGTCATAAGTCACTTTTTTCAGTGCTGTTGTAACTTCAGTCAAGGAACCGTTGTAAGTCGAGGACTAACTGTACTGGTAATTCTACTCTGCCAGATGAATTTCACATATGCACAGATAAACTGGGGGGAGAAAATATTTATATATTTATTCAAGGCATAAAATCCTCGGCTGCCCGCACACATCACGTTTGGCCATTTCAAAGGCATCCTTTATGAAATAACTGACAATGATCTAGGCTTGTGTATCGGGTTAAATCATAAACCATGGTTTGCAAACCACAACGGTTGGGTTCCTGTAGCACAACGAAGTCCAAGCCACCCAGGTGTATGTTGGCTTAGCCTGGTGCGCAAATCCAACTGACAGTAAGGCCAAAATCCCTTGGGATGACTATGGTTAATAAATACCAACAGACTGCCTTTCAGAAATAATCCACGCACTGAAAGACTGCCGAGGGAACAGTTCTAAGGCTTCAGAAGGATTGCTGATCAATCTTAAGAATCCTGGATTAGGCGATCCCGTTTAGAACAAAACGCTCAGCCAAGTTAATCCTTCCGGGCGCATAAACATCAAGACAGCATCACAAGACCGAAGCCCTAAGTCAACTCAAGAGAATTCAAGTCAACTCTCTCTCAAAGAGTGCTGGGCCAATAATCAGGCGTCTTAAAACCGAGCAGCTGGGAATTCACAGGGCTGAACATGCCTTTATCTGTATGCACAAGTCCTTCAAACGTGGAAAGCCCATGAGCCAAGGTGGAGGGGTCAGGGTCTTGTTAACTAACAGGGAGAGTGGGGCAATCACTAGCTCAGGTGATACGTTTTTGGAGGGCAGGTAAAAGCAGAGTGGCAAGCATAGGAAATGAACTGAACTAAGTGCAGTTCCCGAGGCATTTACAGGTAGTCCATAACTTACAACCACAATTGGGACCGGACCCTGTGTTGCTAAGTGATGCAGTCATTCAGTGGGTCATGACTGGTTTTATGACATTTTTGACATAGTCATAGCAATTGCTCTTATAGACCGCTTGCGTATATAAGAGGGCTTTACAGCTCTCTCTAAGCCAGGGGGTCTTCAAACGTGGCCCTTTTATGACTTGTGGACTTCAACTCCCAGAATTCCTCAGCCAGGCACGCTGGCTGCTCTGAGCAGTTTACAGAGTCAGCCTATTGCCCCCCAACAATCTGGGGCCTTGTTTTACTGATCTTGGAAGGATGGAAGGCTGAGTCAACCCTGAGCCCGTCAGGATCGAACTCCTGGCAGTGAGCAGAATTAGCCTGAAATACTACATTCTAACCACTGGGAAGGAAGGAAGGAAGGAAGAATAGGAATGACTATTAAACAAAGATTATAAGTCAGGGACTGCCTGTGCCATGCTGCGTTCACAAATATTATTAACCTGTTATATGATTCCTCTGGTTTTGACATATGTCCTGTGAATCAAGCCAGCTGGAGCTCAGGGTGAGCCCTGGTATACCATGATGGGGGCACTTAGAGAGAAATAAATTCCCTGAGGAGACTAATGCTGGTTTATTACTTTTTCCACTTGGCGCCCTGCAGATGTGTAGATGGCCACTGTCTTACGGAAACTGACTTCCAATATTATCTGCAGGGTACCAAACTATCTGGCTAACCTTCTAGAAAGATAAACGATTGTAAATAAACTCCTATGAATGGTTTAAAAAGCTACAGGTAGGTTCCAAGGTTCTCGGGGAATCATAACCTATCTGACTTTAAAGGTGCTTTTGAAGGTTACAACCAGCACCTTCAACTGGGGTTGAGAAAAATTAATTATTTCTAAAAAAAAAAAACCACACCCAACCTTTTAAAACCGTCTCCCATTAACACAGCCAAGCCAAAAAACACTTAAAGGCGAAAGCCACAGGTGGGGATGAAGTGCTCCCCCCTCCTCCCCAGGTTTAACTTTTTACTGAAACAAGATCTAAAGCAAACATGTCAAACACAAGGCTTGGGGGCCGGATGCGGCCCGTGAAGTGGTTTCATGTGGCCCGCAAAGCCATCCTGGAAACAGTGAGGGAATGGCCCCCGTTGCCTTGGCCCTGGCCGGCCGGGAGCCAATGTACAATTTTGTGGTGGCCATCTAGGCTGAAACGCATTCAGTCTTCGCTCCACAAGGCCGTCTGGAAACAGCGAGGAACCAGGTCCTGCCGCGTCGGCCCCACGCCCTGGGTGCATGCTGGGCAGGTGTCACCCTTTGTGAGGAATGAAGAAATGCACCATCGCCTGGAAGTGGCCAGCAAATGGCCCTCGCCTACTTCACATATCCGGCTTGATGGGCTCCGGGGGAAGGGTTTTGGCAGGCTCCTCCAGTGGACCATGCCTTGGCACTTGCCCTGGTCCCACCCCCTTCTGCCAGAGACCCTCAGATCTGTCCCACTCCTGCCCAGGCCCCCACAGGCCCCCTTGACACGAATGATGTAGAGCTGGCCACGCCCACCCAGTAGGCCACACCCACTCCAGCCACGCCCACCCTGGCCACACCTACCTGCCCCCCCTCAAGGACAACCGCAATGGTGATGTGGCCCTCAGTGAAATTGTGTTTGACACCCCTGATCTAAAGTATGAAGTAAGTTATTGACTGTTACATAAGGCCGAGGAACCTCGGATTGCATCAGAAGGAAAAGCAAATATCCTACGAAATAGGCAACGACATTCTTATGCAAGTATCTGATAAAAGAAAACGGGAGGTGGCTGTTTGCTTTTCCCCAGGTGTTTGTTCTCAAGGAACAAGTCGTCCTGCGTAATTGCCTAGCAGAAATATGACAGGGCAACAAAACTGGAAAAAAAAAAACCACCACTCTATTACATGGCTGGAAAAATCTATTTGAGTTCACTGCCTCTTTCCATTGACTCCTGCCTCTTCTTTTTTTTTTTTTACTCTACCATCAAGTTCCAATTCAAAAAACATTTCCAAAGCAAAACAGGGCTTCCTGGCTATCTCCCCTAAAATAATGCCTGAAAATTAAAGGGGGGAAGCCAGAGCTCCTTGCTTATTTGACCAAGTAAGTAGCAAATTCAGACACAAAAGAAAAACAAGGGCACAGGTAGTTTTTGGCTTACTAACAGAACTGGGCCATTGCTAAACATGACAGTTAAGTGACTTTTGCCCCGTTTCTGGCCACAATTGATAGGTAAATCATTGAAGTCAAGTTAGTAACACGGTTGTTAAGTAATCCGACTTCCCCATTGACTTTATTTGTCAGAACGTCACAAAAGGTGACCCTATGACTCCGGGACACTGAAACCGTCATAAATACAAGTCAGTTGTCAAGCATCTGACTTTTGATCGCATCATGGGATGCTGCAAGGGTCGTAAATGCGAGAAACACAAGTTACAAGTTACCTTTTTCAGTGCCGTTGCTACGTTTGAACCGTCGCTAAATGAATGGTAGTGAGTTGAGGATTATACCTGTTCTCGGTTACAGACGAAGCTCACTAACAGATTCCTCACCTAAGATCTGGAATCCCTAAGGCAGGGGGTCTTCAAACTTGGCCCTTTTATGACTTGGGGACTTCAACTCCCAGAATTCCTCAGCTGCTAACTGAGGAATTCTGGGAGTTGAAATCCCCAAGTCATAAAAGGGCCTAGTTTGAAGACCCCTGAATTATACATTATGACATGCCATATGCTGAATAAATAAACATATTAGGAGAAGTGTTTTACTCAGTTAGTTCTAAGTTCTTGCAGTTGTCTCTGCAACGTGGCTGGCTGAGGAATTCTGGGAGTCGAAGTCCCCAAGTCATAAAAGGGCCAGGTTTGAAGACCCCCTGCCCTAAGGTGATTCTGAGAGGGATGGGTCCAAGGTTGCTGCGGGACAACAGCTGCAGAAAGACTGAACACTGCTTAACCCTCTGAGTCAGGGGTCTCCAAACTTGTCAACTTGCGGACTTCAATTTCCAGAATTCTTCTGCCATGCTGGCTGGGGAATGCTGGGAGTTGAAGTCCACAAGTCTTAAACGTTGCCACGTTTGGAGACCCCCTAGCTCTAAGTAAAGGCCACCAGACTGGAAGCCACAGAGAGCAGCCCACCCCCCCTAATCCATGCAAGGAAAGCAGAATGGGCTCTTTCCAAGGGTGTCCCGGGGCAAGATTTTGGGACGCAAAAGGGGAGGGGGGCTTAGTCCCCAGCAGGACAGGAGCAGGCGGGGCCCGGGGAGATCCGCTTAAGCCACTCGCTCCCCGATCCCCGGTCCTGCAGGAGCCTATCCCCGGAGGCTAGCGCGTCCCCCGGCTTGCCTCCCACCCCCTTCGCCGCATGCTGGCTGATTCTCCGGCCGGCCAGCCTGCCTCGCCTGCCCCAATCAAGAGCCGCAGCGGCGGCGGAGTGGCTCAAGGGGCGTCGGCCAGGATGACACCCGGGCTCTTCCCCCCAGGCGGTGCACATCTGGAGGGCTCCAGGTCGGGGGTCCTGCGGGTGTCGCCCACCCGTCAGTCCGGAGATCGGAGCCCAGCCGCCTCCGGACGGCCCCAGGTTCGGGGAAAGACCGTTTCCAAGTATCCAACTGCGCTCAAAGGACAGGCGCGCTCGGCTACTGCGCGCTTTGCAAGCTGCGGTCGTGTGAACGCGGTCGGGCGGGGGGGTTCGTTCCAGCAACCCGGGTCAGCGCGACGTGCAAACGACCGGCAACACCCCTCTCCCCAATGGAAACCTCGTCCGGACCCCCCAGCCTCCCAAATTAGACCCCAACCCAATGATAGGGTCCTTCCCACTCACCCACCCACTCACTATTACCTTCCGCAGTTCTTTCTCGATCTCGCCCGCTTTCAGGACGATGGGCCCCCGCACGGCGTACTCCACCGCCTTGACCTGCGGGTTCATGGATTCCAACGTGAGGATCTTCTCGCGAGGCGCCTTCTCCTTCAGCTGTAGCGCGGGGGCTTCGGCGGCGGCGCTGCTCCAGCCGGCCAGCCCCGGCCGGGCCGCCCGCTCCGTCCCCATCGGCGGCTGGGCGACGCCGCCCGGGGCCTCCAGCGGCCGGCGGCGGCGGCGCGGTTCTTTGCCGGTGGCCAGCCGGGCCAGGAAGCGCACGGCCTCGGCTCGGCGCTCGGGGAGGCGAAGGGGGGCGGCGGCTTCCCTACTCAGCCCCGACAAGCGGTGCATGGCGCCTTTGGAGAAGGAGACAAAAAAGGGGAGGAGATGATTCCCACCCTGCCCTGATGCTGTTACCTAGCTGGGTCCTGAAACGTCTGCCAGAGAAATCAGCCAAGCTCAAGAAGGATCCCAGGGAGATTCAACGTTGACTCCAGCTGCCATCCTTCCCAGGACGGTAAAACGAGGAGCCAGGTTGTTGGGGGGGAGGGATTGGGGGGGGGAGGACAAGAGGCTGACTCTGTAAACCGCTTGGAGAGGGGCTTGTAAAGCGGTCTATAAGTCTCGACCTGCTGTTGCTAGTTCGACCCTGAGCTGCAAAGATTCTCCTTTAGAGGAGAGGATTAAACCGAGGAGGGGGGGGATGAGAAAGGAGAAAGGACCCGACCCCGCCACGCGCCCCCCAGCCCCGCATCTCACCCGCACCAGCGCCCTGCGAGAAGCAGAGGAGATCGCCCGTTTGCAAAAGAGCGAGCGAGCGAGGGAACGCGCGTCGGAACGGCTCCTGTGCCTTCTTCCAGCGCCGGCCCCTCCGCTTGCAAAAAAAGAGAAAAAAGGAGGAGACGGCAGAGGCGGCGCCCCACCGAGCTCTCCAATGAGCCGCCGGCCTCGGCTGCCTTTGCAACGAAGCCGGCTCTGGGCAAGCCCATTGGCCTCCCCCACGCCTGCCGGACTCCGAGTCGGGAGCCGCCCAGCCGGCCGGCCCTCGCAGCAGCTGGCCGTGGGGATTGCACCAGCCGCGGAGCGCTGCCTGATGGGGCTTGTAGTTCCCCGTGGCCGAAGAGGGGAGGGAGGAGACTACTTCTCCCAGAGTGCTCCCCGAGCAAGGGTGACGCGTGTCTTGGCTCCGGGGAGGGAGTGGGGGAGTGGATGGGGGAGCGGGTGTGCGCAAGCGGGAGGAGGAACAGGCGGTGGGGGAGCTGCTCCTTTCCCCCAAAGCGACCCCCTCCCAACGAGCCAGTCATTTAATGAAAAAAGGGGAAAAAAAGAAAAGAAAAGCGGTTTTGCATGTGAAAATATGTTTCCTGTGAACGTTGCAAGGCTGCCCAGCCAAAAATACCCCGAGCGCAACCGTAGCGGAAGAGAATTAGTTTGGTGGAAACGCTGCAGAAGGAAATCCGGACTTTTTGCGGATTTCCCAGGAAGGATTGGAGGTTGACGCGATCCTGGAGACCGTTGGTGCAATTGAGCCGCAAAGGTGTCAGCTAAGTTTTAGTCCAGTGATGGCGAACCTTTTAGAGACTGAGTGCCCAAACTGCAACCCAAAACCCACTTATGCATCATCGAGTGCCGGGTGGGTGTGGCCCATTGGGTGGGCACTGGGTAGGACTAAAAAGTTCAATCAATCAATTCCAACTTTGCGAGATCTTTTTTTCCCTGCGAGAAGTTGAAATTGACTGATTGATTGAACCTTTTTTTTTTGCACATGGTGGCAGAGGCCTAAAGCGAAAAGGTTTTATAAAACCCAGCTGAAGGCCTAGGACTAGGGCGACAGTGTGCGTGCCCACAGAGAAGGCTCTGAGTGCCACCTCTGGCACCCGTGCCATAGGTTCGCCACCACTGTTTTAGTCTAATGAGCCAGCAGTGTGCAGCAGCAGCAGCCAAAAAAGCTAACACAGTCCTGGGTTGTATAAACAGAGGCACAGAATCAAGATCACGCGAAGTACTAGTAGCGCTTTATAAAAAACCCTAGTTAAGACCACACCTGGTAATATACTGCAACCAATTTTGGTCACGGTGCTACAAAGAAGATATTGAGACTTTAGAAAAAGTTCAGAGAAGAGCAACTAAAATGATCAAAGGCCTGGAGACAAAGGTATGAAGAAGAGCTGAAGGACTGGGTTGGCTGGTCTAAAGAAAAGAAGAAACACGGGCGACGTGATAGCAGTATTCCAATGTTTGAGGGCCTGGCAGAAAGAAGAGGGGGTCAAACTATTCTCCAAAGCACCCGAAGGCAGGACAAGAAACAATGGTTGGAAACTGACCAAAGAGAGAAGCAGCCTGGAATTAAGAAGAAACTTCCTAACAATAAGGACAATTAACCAGTGGAACAGCTTGCCACCAGAAATCGTGGGCGATCCATCCCTGGAGGTTTTAAAGAAGAGACTGGACAGTCACTTGTCTGAAATGGTATAGGTTCTGCTCGAGCAGGGGGCTGGACTAGAAGACCTCCAAGGTCCCTTCCAGATTCTATTCTATTCCTATTCCTATTCCTATTCCTATTCCTATTCTTTTAGTTTTAGTCTAGTTTAATCCAGCCCTGAAACTTATAGGGTGGATGATTCAGTATTTCTGCAGAATGAGTTGAGATAATTTGGCAAATTTTGGTTCAGTTGACCACAAGTAGATACAGTATGCAAACATAGCTGTAGTAAGTCATGATTTATCTTAATCATGCTTCCTTGACTAATAAGGAAGAATTAAGGGGCCGTGTGAGTTGTCCCTAAAGATAAACAGTCTTCAAATGAAAATATTGAGGCTTAGTGTTTTTCCGCTGAATTTACCAACTGTCTCATGGAAAATAACCAGTTTCAATGATCAACCTGGATACATTTATCTTTGTTTGCACAAATGTTGATCCAGGGTTAACTTACCTTGGTTATTAGACTGAGCAGTTTTCTGGATTCATCTGACATTAAACCATAAACTAACCATATTTGACAGGAGAAGCTAGGCCAAAATGTGGCCCTCTAGTTTGTGGCTGGGTTGAAACGCAGGGGGTGATTTATCGCCGCAAAAGCAAATAAAGAATTTTGCACCACTAAAGAAGATAAACTAAGGTTAGGGGTGATTTATTGCCCCAGAAGCAAATAATGAAGAATTTTGCACCACTTAAAAGATAAACTAAGGTTAGTGTTTGCAAAACACACCCCGCTTGATGCGTTATTCCAGCGAAGGAATGTATTGATGTATGATGAGGGGGGGGGGGAAGGCTGTGCTCTAGGAAAAAATAGACAACAATAATTGTGAGACATTAAAAGCACCATATGATTTTTTTTCACTGTTTCTGTGAAATGATGTGATTTGGTCTGTCAAGGAAGGTAGAAGAAGCCTACTCTTCATAAGTCAGAATTAAAAGCAGTAACACCATAGCATCATTCACGTTTGAACCCAGATGGCACATTATGTCGTCCGTTGCTTCAATATACCATATCATCTGAACCCAGAACACTGTCCTCAACTAACAACAGTTTGGGCTCAATTGTGATAGTATGTTGAGGATACCTGAACTTTACATTATTTAGAAAAGGTGTATGTATTTATTTATTTTAAAGATTTGTGTGCCTCCTATCTTAACTCTGGGCAGTTCACAACAGCAGTAAAACCACTAACTATAAAATATAACCATCAAACAAACAAAAAATCTGCAAAACAATCAAACATTTGGGGCCTTCATCATCCCCTTAGGATGCCCGTCAAGAACCTTCTTTTCCATTCTTTCTATCCCAATAGCCTTTATTGATTTAAAATGTGTTACTTATTGAATATCTTGTTACACAGCCTCCCATGTAACCATCTCTAGAGGTTATTAAAAATGAAATGATTGAACTGTAACAATAAAAATACCGTGACATTAAAATATACAGCTGCTCTGTTTAAAATGGATGGGGAGAATAAAAACAAGAGTATCACATTCAAACAGGAAGATCTGTGGCATTGTTGCCTTGTCTTTTTCCTGTTATGTGATACAAAACCCAGTCACATCGGCCGGCAGCATGATGTGATTGCAAAAAATAGAAATGCTTTAAATTGCATCACCAAAAGAGTCATTTCCTAATCACAGGAAGGGATTTTCTTATTTTGATCCTGTTCCATTTCAAGCCCTGTGTTCAGATACTTTTGGGATCCCTGTGCTGGGGTGGAGACCCAGAGAGACAGCCATGAAGCAAATATTCAGAAACTATTATACAGCAAAAGAAGAGAAGCATATCTTAAATCCTGGGAAGGGAAATAGTATTCAGAAAAGATTCAGGAATGTAATGTGTGAATAAGACTTGGTTCCCACATCGCACTAGGGTTTTCATTTTTTTTTCCCACGCAGTCAAGATGCCACATTTGATTTGATCTCAAGATAGTTCCTGTCCTCTTGGGAATTGATTTCCTGATTTGTTCTATCTGGACAGCTGACCAATGCATTGGACTCTATGATCTAGAATTCATATTCTGGAATTAGATCCTGTACTTTACTTGTGTTTTATTATTGTTATATGTTTGTAAGGCTAATCAATTAATAAACTATAACCAATAAATCAATAAATTATGATATAAATGGTCTCAACTTCTGAAATTCTGTAATGGACTTAGAACACAGGCCAAGATTAGGGGAAGTGACCAGAAAATTATCACCGGTCAAGTGTTTGCTATGATGCCTGATGCAATTCAGATAAATATCCTACTCCTTGTTAATACTAAGCTTGGTTAAGCCCCAGTAGCCACACTTGGAGAAAATAATCAAAGCTAGCCCTTGGTGTCATATGCCTATCAGGGCATAGTTCAAAGACAATTCTCACAAAAATTCAGAAGCCTCAGGTTCAAAGTACAACAATGCACACCCAACCATGTAATCAATATTTGGTTGATGACTAACATAGTTTCCCAAACACACACAAAAAAACATATGCATTGCTTAGCTTTGTCTTAACCTGTTAGATCAGGGGTCTTCAAACTTGGCCCTTTTATGACTTGTGGACTTTAACTCCCAGAATTTCTCAGCCAGCATGCCTGACTGAGGAATTCTGGGAGTTGAAGTCCACAAGTCATAAAAGGGCCATGTTTGAAGACCCCTGTGTTAGATTAATCTGGTTATTTTTACTTGGGTTATAACGTAATGCAAAAGATGAACCCAACTGATTTTGCTTTATCCAGGAAATTGTCTTTTAAGTAAAAAAAAATAAACACCCTAGTGTGATGTGGGAACCAAGTCTTATTCACACAATACACTAAACCAGAAAGAGGTAGACCTTGGTTTAGGTTAGGTACAACCCAAAAGATATAATAGTTAGGAAATATTGGCAGTGCATTTATAATATTATACTGGTTTGTCTTAATATATATTATGCTTTATATTTTCATGTATGTTGTAGAATATATTTCTGTTGGCTCAGTGAAACAATGTTTAAAATAGAAACTTTTGTTGATCCAGAAAGTAAATGTTGTTAATTAAGCTAAAAGTTTGGTAACAATTTGTCATTTTTCCATTTGTAACATGTTGGGCTGCTTATTTCATTTTGCTTTATACATTTCTCCTTCCTGGAAAACACAGTGGTATATATTGCAGGATTTAGCATGCATAAACAATAATCCATCTGAAGAGAGCTTAATTTTTAAAAAATGTCGGCCTCACATACCTAAGATCGCAAACAGGCCCAGTCAGGTTTTGATATTATTCTTATTCTGGAATCAAATCCTCACTTTTCATGTTTGTACAATTTAGCTCCATGATTTTGGCAACAGTACCAGTTAAAACAAAGGCAGTGTTTCTATGCAAGGCATGCAAGAAAAATACTTGGATGGCATGTGGAAACTTGCATTTAGTTCAGCCCAACGAAGAGAAGCTGATACAGGAGATATGCTTTATCTCTCACACACAAAGTTTAATTACGTTAGTAATTGGATTTACCATTATTAAATCACTGATTGATTATATAGCAACAAGTGGGAGCTAACACTTAGCATTTTAGCTTGATGATTACTAGACTGACTCTATATTTTGGATTCATCTGTCATTAAAGCATAAACTAACCCATATTTGACAGGAGAAGTTAGGCTAAAATGCCTTCCGGTTTGTGCTCTTGCCCAGCTGGTGATTTATTGCCGCAAACGCAAATTTCTTGACTGCTGGTTTGTTTGTTTTTTTACCATTGGCAGAAATTACTCCATCAGTACAGGCAGTCCTCAATTTACGGCCACAATTGAGCCCAAAATTTCTGTTATCAAATGAGACATTTGAGATTTTTTTGCCCTATTTTACGACCTTTCTTGCCACAGTTGTTAAGTGAACACTGTAGTTGTTAAGTTGGTGACATGATCTTTTTTTTTTTGTAAGTTTATTGTTTTATCATAGGGTGACACCATAGTTAAGTGACTCTGGCTTCCCCATTGACTTTGCTTGACAAGAGAGAGAATCACATGACCCCTGGACGCTGCAGCCGTCATAAATATGAATCTGTTGCCAAGCATTTCAGTTTTGATCACATGACCATTGGGAGGCTGCAATGATTGTAGTAATGTGAAAAATGGTCATAACTCCCTTTTTTCAGTGCTGCTATAACTTTGATCAGTCAGTAAACAAACTGTTGTAATGTATCTTCATTGACAGCTCTAAGGCTGGTGGCTATACAGTGCTTATTTTTGTTAGTTTAATCTTTATAATTTTAGTCCCTTTTTTCTCACTAAGCTCTTGGACTTATTACTAGAGTTTGGAAATGAATTGTCAAAATGAAACAAAACATATCATGACTTAACATGAGGTAGAATTCCAAAATTGAGAGTAGCTCTGATAATCAATTGAGTATCTCTACTCTTCACGTTACTGATGTTGATAGGAGCTATAACCGAACATAACTGCTAGATTAAGGACAGATGTAGTAAGTAATTCTATTATTGTACGGCATTAGAAACAGCTGTTAAAACGCTTATGTTTTTTTAGTTTAAGCATTTCTTTGTCATTCCTGCAATATTGATTCTTTTATTGAGAAAACTATATTTAAAATATATGGAGGGAAGGAGGGAATCAAATGACAATGTTGATCCAGAATTTTTCAACCACAGAAGACCTGTTGGAGACATTCTTGTCTAGTGCATAAGATAGAAAGTTAAAATGATGTCCTATTTGCATAAATCCAGAATGAAAATTTTAAGTGATTATGATTCACTGGCCTTTAATGTTGCTGAAATCTATGTTAAATGGCAATTAGCTTCCAAAACTGGTTTCCAGACATCCATGGGTAGACAGAGTTGGAAGTGATGTAATATTATTAGCCTGTCTGTCAACTGGCTAAAACAATATCCATTATGAAATGAATATATGAGTATTTATGGAAAGCAAAGGAGAAAATTAAGGTTAAAGGTTATGATCCCGTTAAGCATAAATCATTGATATTGTGAAACAGCAATAGACTAATAGATTGGCTGTTCCCAAAGGATATGAATGGATCAATGGATCTATTTAGAAAAAAAAATTCTAATGTGATTTATAGGATTTTTGTTTCATGTATATGTAATTAATCATGGGAAAACCACACCAGTGTTGTAAGAAATGCATTAACTGGGACTAAGAGGAAAGATGTATAACCTTCATGTATTTATTCTTTGCTTATTCATTGTAAATACCTCTGTGGTTTGGTAGCATCTTAATTTTGCATGGACTGGGAGTTCGTATTTGATAAGCATGACTAATATTTTCAAATTCAGTTATGATTTATTTACATTTTTTACCTCTGCCCTAAAGTTTTCAGCAATCTGTGAATTTCCTTCATTTTTGCCAGTTACAACATGCATTTATTATCCTTGAGTAGAACTGTACTTGTTTTCACAGCGTAGAAAACTGTCATAGTAGATACTCCTCTCCGTTAAAGACTTAGGGGGGAAAAATTGAACTCTTGAAGCACATACAGGATCTGTATGTGGGGAGTGGTGCAGAAAAAGGCAAGATTAAACTTGTTTTAACAGACATTTTTTCTTTGGAATGTTCTGCTCATTTCAGTGAAGCAATTCAGATCTGTGAACATCCACCCACATCATTTGATAGGGCAAATTAATGTGCTAAGTATTCTGGCTTAGGGTGATAACAGCAAACATGGGGCAAAATAGCTTATATGTGAAACCTATGTTTATATTTATAACTTCCTGTTTATAAATCCCTATATTCTGAGTTATTGACACATTCATAAATTAAAATGCCTGCTCCAGGTTTTAGTTGTTGGTATCTTTGGTCCTATGCTGACCCCCATGGGGATGTCTGCAAGATAAGGTCAAAAAAGTCAAGATGGTAGCTATGATGGTTTAATTGAAGCTCCGCCCACATGCAAGATTCATGAAAAACAAGTGGCACTTCTATTGCAGGCACCATCCTGACTTTTTAATCCCATCCTGGGGACACTCCCGTAATCTATAGGCAATTCTTGGCCAATATTTTATCTTGATGTTGGTACTAATGTTTGAAGTCAAGCCACCCAGAGCTGCTTTGGATAAAGAGATGGGAGGTATATAAATTGAATAATTTTTTAAAAGAAAGGAGTATTGTAGGACTGAGCAGGATCCGAACCCAGTTGACTTGAGATATTTATAAGAGACGTGAAGTCTGCCAACTAGTTAATCTTGTAGGTGAATTGGCCAGATCTAAATGCATAAATAAAGAGTAGAGATATTTTTTAAATAATAGAGACATTTACATAATGTCTTTGCATCAGATCTAGTAAGGAACAGGTTAAGTCTATTGACAGGAACCAAAATAGAGTATTTTATTATGGTGTGTCTCCCTTCCAAGTCACTCTTGGATCATAGGAATCTCGAGAAAGCTTTTCCCACATTGCTTTGAACTTGTGTATGTGGATAAATGCATGATTTTTTGTCAGCTTTGAATTTGTGTTATGTGGGTAAATGCATGATTTTTTTTGTCATGTTTATGTAGTGTGTATTGGAGGTGGTTACCCTTTGAGAGCTGAATGCAATGAAATTTCATTTTAATGTATGCTGATTAGTGTACATTTAAAGTGACAATAACGTTATTCTATTCTAACTTGGTTTGCTAAACGTTTTGCATTTCACAACATTTTTAGCTTGCTTTTATGATTGATGTTGGCAGTGGTTTGTTTTCATGCAATTACTGTGTCTGCAAACCCATTTGGCCCTGAAGATGGTGCAACGTGTTGTGTGAACACTCTGCTTCTAGCCTGGGGTTTGGGGCATGGAGCTTTGCTGAAAAACAGGGCTGCTCAGCTAAGCGACTTGAAGATAGAGGGACTTCATTTCCCAGAATTCCCCACCCAGCATGGCTGTTTAGAGAATTCTGGGAATTGAAGCCCATCCATCTTTCAGCACCATTGACTTAGGACATCTTTTCCTTCAGTGCCCTTAGGAATGAAAATGTGGTGAATTTTGCCTATGATAACGCTAACTGGACAACAGCAGTCCCGAGGTACACCGGAACCTATTTATTTTTGAGAAATTATTAAGAGAATTTATGGCGGGCGCCCCTTTCCTTCAGGAGAATCCCCTGAGGAGATTTTTTTTTCCTCCTCTTTTCCTCTTCTTAAACGTTACTGGGGCAACTGGCCAGCCCCGCCCCTCCCCGGCGTCCATATCCCTTTAGCCAATCCCGGCGCTTATTTTTTATTTTTTTAAAAAAAGTCATCAGTCTTTAAACCACGCCCCGGGCTCGCACGCTCCTTCGCTCGCGGACTAGAGGGGCGTGGCTTGGCTTCCCCAACAGTTTCGGGTTTCTGTTCGGCCTTTGAAAAACGATCCCTAGACGGGATCAACGTACGCATGCGCGGCCCATTCGCTGGCGGAGGGAGGTGTGTGTGTATATGGGGGGAGGAAATAAGAGAAAGGAGACGGTGATGGGAGCGAAGGAAGGGGGCGCTCGCGAGCTGGCGAGCGGCTGCTTTCTATTGGCTGCCGCGGGCGCGAGGGCCGCGTTCCAGGGAGGTGGGCGGGGCGGGCGAGCTCGCGCGCGCTCGGCTGCCGCTCTTCGCCCGCAGTCGGCGCGCCGCCACGGAGCTGGGCGGAAGCATGTCTGCCGGCCGGGCCAAAAAAGTGAAGATGGCTACCAAATCGTGCCCCGAGTGCGACCAGCAGGTGAGAGCCGCAGCGTTGTCCCGGCTCAGGGAAGCTGGCTGCCCAGGCGCTGCCGGCTTCTCCCTCCCCCGCGGCTTTGTCCATCCTCCTGCCCGGGCAGCACACCTGTCTCGTCCAGGTGTGTTGCCCTCGTGGTCTGTGCAGGTGCTGTGGGGAGGGGGAGGATGCCCGCTTCTTTGCAGCCCAGCCTGGGCGCTTGTGGCTCGGGTCCCTGCTGTGAATACCCTCCCCAAAGCACTGCTTTCTGCCCCCTCCTCTTGGAAATGCCCCCCCACCTTCCATAGGTAAATGGCTGGCAGTTGCAAAGTGGAGCCAGGTTAAGCACAGGCTGTAAATCAGATTTTCTTTATTTATTTTTTGACCCACCTGATGTTCTGGAAAAAGATCAGCCCTTCCTGGCCCAGGCTTGTTAAGAGCTGGAGCACCTCTGGCAGGCGCTGGGTTGGAGAAGCTGCAAATCAATTTTCCCTGGTTTTCAAAGCCCTGCTTTGTAGTATTTTGCAGAGTTTGGGGGAGAACAAATTCTGGATAAAGGCCTCAGTGATGATCCCTCAGTGATCTAGAAAAAAGGGAAAAGGCTGCAAATGCCTGGGTGACATTAATTCTCCTTGATGGGTACTGTAAAATGAGGACTTGCTTCCTAGGGAAGTTATTTGCATGCTGATTCAGAAATTGCCCATTGCATTAAGATTTGCATACAGGGCAGGAATTAGAAAATTGCTAAGAGTAGCTGACAGTACAGTTTTGGATCAGCTAAGGGCATAGACTCTTAAATATAGTTTTGCTTTTTGCCGTTATTGCCTTGCTTCCTGTAAATGTCCCCCCCCCCAATGTTTTGTGGTATTAATGAGCTTTAGATCCGTTACCATCCCTGGAACAAAAATATGTCAGTTTTACAGTTACCAGCCTACTGTTAATGTGTTGAGCTGGGAGGAAATCCCTTTTGTTTGTACTGCTTTAGGCAGATAAGCAATCTTCTGGTTTACCAGTTAGAGGCTGTTTAATTTAAAGCTTATATATATTTTTAATCTGTGATCCACAAAAGCAAAGCCAAGGTTTTATTTGTCGTGAAACAATGCAGAAAGGCATTTTGAGGAAATGAGAGTGCTGGAAAAACGGTTCTAATGAATCATTCTATGTACTTTTGTTTTAGTATAAGTAAATACTTGATGAGAGCCAGCTTGGTGTAATTGTTAAGGCATCTGGCTATAAACCAGTGGGCACAAAGCCACTTGGGTGACCTTGGGCCAGTCACTTCCTCCCAGCCCTAGGAAGGACGCAATGGCAAACCACCTCTAAAAATCATGCCAAGAAAATGGCTGGGACTTTTCCAACCGGTCCCCAGAAACCAACAAAAAAAAGTATCTCCTTGAAAGTCTCTTTTTTGATGTTTAAAATGACACAGTTCTTTATTTTGATTGTTTAAAAATAGGTTTATAAAAACGTGGGAAGCTACTATGTAGCCAGCCTAGTAGAGTTTGACATTTTTATTTTTGTTTAAAAATGTAATACAGCAGCAGCTTCAGCTGAATAGTGTGATTTGGAAGGAAACTTGTATGCATCTATATTTGGGGTCTTCAAATTTGGCCCTTTTATGACTTGTGGACTTCAATTCCCAGAATTCCTCAGGCAGGCACACATGCCTGGCTGAGGAATTCTGGGAGTTGAAGTCCACAAGTCATAAAAGGGCCAAGTTTGAAGACCCCTGATCTATATTCTGTATTTCTGTTTCCTCTTGGCATCCGGTTAGCTGATGGGGGGAGGGGAACGACAGAGTACTTCAGTAAATACGTTTTTTCTGTCCTTAATGGTTTTCCACGATAGGAGAAAAAAAGAGAGACAAAACCTTGTGAGAATTCAGGGCAGTTTTATGTGGTAGATGATACATCTGGGGCTGCCCTAAAATTGTGAGAACAAGGCTGTGCAAGCATAATACAAGGTAGTCCTCAAAGTACGACCACAATTGAGCCCAAAATTTCTGTTGCTAAGTGAGACATTTGTTAAGTGAATTTTGCCCCATTTTATGACCTTTTCTTGTCCCAGTTGTTAAGGGAATCACTGAAGCTTTGAAGTGAGTAAGATGGTTGTTAAGCAAATCTGGCTCCCCCCCACTGACTTTGCTTATCAGAAGGTTGTAAAAAGGGATCACGTGACCCCGGGACGCTGCAACCGTCATAAGTATGAGTCAGTTGTCAAGTGGCTGAATTTTGATCATGCAACCACGGGGATGCTGCGGTGGTCTTAAGTGTGAAAGACGGTCGCAAGTCGTTGCTTTTTTCAAGTGCCATTGTAACTTTGAATGGTCACTAAACGAACTGCTGTAAAATGAGGACTACCTGTAGAAGCAGCTTCCTTTGGAAGCATCTTAGGTCTGTTTTAGTTAATGGGGCAGCAGGATTGCGACATTTCTTCCCTAAAAGTTAGGTGGCTGCCAGCGTAGATTGAATTTGAGTTGGTTAGTTTCAGTGGTTTGTGCCTTTTACTGGTTGTGTTGTGTTTCTTTTGATGTGCAGGAGGTATTTGCTAAAGCTAAGCCATCTTAAGCTCTTTCAGCTCTAGACTTCATCTAACAAGTTAGTTTATTTTGTGTGTCAAGTATTTCTACAGTGGCAGAATTTCCTGTAAGTCGGATGCTTTGTTGGAAATTCTGGGGAATTACTGTTCCTGGCAAGCCTGGAAACTGTAATTGTGAAATATTTGAAGGAAATTAGGTTGAGAGTGATCTAAAAGCAAGAAATCTACTCCAGTGTTTGAACATATATACTGTATATATATATATTTAAATAAGGAAATGCAAACCATGCCCTATTGTATGTGCTCATGTGTTAATACATTTTGCAAAGATAGTGCACAAAACAACAGTGACTGTATTGCAAACTTGTTTGCTGTGGTAAAGGTGAAGGTTTTTTGAGCTTCAGGCACAACCGATCTGGTGTAATTTCTCAGTGTCATGCACTTTTCTACCACATAGCAAATTATTCAGAAATTTCGGCTTTGATTGATGATGTGGTATTTCATGGCCCCTAAAGTCTCCGTTTTTGCTTATCCCCGTGAGAGGTTTTGCAGTTTAATTTGCTTTACAAGGCTCCTGCATCAAAAATGTTTATTTCTCATTCTGATTATAGTTGAACTTGAAACCTGATCCAGTCAGGCACATTGAAATACTTCCCCTATGAGGGAAGATATTTGGAGTTTCCTAGTTGAAAAAAAAAAAACTTTATGTGGGGCTATATAATCCTTGGCAGAGAGGAAATGGAAAGGAGAAACTTATTTCTGTAATAATGCTGTCATGTGAGGAAATCCAATAAAGCTGAGTGCTTGGGAGACTCGGGCTAAATAAAGAGATGTATTTCACTCATGGCATCATGGGCTGTGTCCTTTATTCCCCAAAGATACAATGATGGGTACCAATTGCAGCTTTAATAGGGAATTAAAATAAGGCTAAATGGTTACAACTTACCCTATGACTAATAACTTCCTGACTTCCCACCTCCATGCACCAGCAGTGATGATAAACAGCAATGAAAATATAATTTTTTCCTTTAAGATCTCCTAATGCCAGACTGGGAAAAAGTTAAAAATTACACACACATACTTAAAATGTACATATATTTGTGTAATTTTAAAACTGCTTCTATTTTTTTTTTTTTTACATTCTTGCCAGCCTGCTCCTTAATTATTCTACAGTGTGGTTGCTGTGTTTTTGTTAATGACCTAATGAAGGTCTAAAAACAGCACTGGGGAATCTAAAGGGTACCTTAAGATGAGGTGGAGATGATTGCTGTAATGTGCATTTTTTCTTCTACGTGCAGTTTCATTCCTGCATTGGCGTCATCGTTGGATAAGGGTGAAGCTGTTTTTGTCACTGAGTCCTTTTAACAATCAGTAATACTGTGTGATGTGTAACATCCAATGCTATCTACTGTTTCCCTTTAAAAAAATACTCTTATCTCTCTCCCCCCCTCCATTACTTAGTATTATTATTGGCTTTTTTCAAAACATACAAAAATAAATCATATCACTCTTTTTTTTTAAAAAAAAAATCCAAATTACAATTGAGTAATACTTTATTAGAACCATCCAACATGTCAAAAAAATGTTTTGGGGGTTTCCAGATGCTGAATGTAATGCAAAATGAAGCCAGGAGCAAAAATGGCAAAATAATAATAATAATAATAATAATCTCCAGGCCAGCCAGAAGAACTACATAAGTCAAAGATTTAAGGTGGAGTCAGATTGCTGTTTCTAGAGTGCTCTTCTAAGTGGCACGCAGAATCCAGTGCTAATGCTAACTTGGTCCAAATAAGTTTGATAAACAAAAATCAAGCCACATGAAGGCTTATTAATAAATAACATGGGTGAATCCAGCCAAAGAGTTCTGAAAAATTGGAGGCATACTCATTATATTGTGACACATTTTACTTGGACTTAAACTATTTCATAGTTCTCTGATATTTAGTGATAAAAATGCATTACCTTGTTAGTTGTTGGGGTTTTTTTGCACCCTTCCTGAAATATCACATCCTACACAATTCAGAGTATCAAAATACTGCAACACCTGAATTTTCAAGGTCTGTCCCAGAATCAGTCACCCTCCCTTCAAATGCAGACCAGAATAATCCCTTAACTTGGAACAGCATATTTCAACAAAGGCTGATTTTCTTTATATCAAGGAATAACAGCCAACGCCACTGGACTTCTTAGGAGGAAGAAACATGCCCTTGCTGACCAATTTAAGGTGTGGGATTTTGGAGCTGATGTGAAGTTGCAGTGACAGGCTGTGCTTGCATTTATACTAATCTTCAAGGTTGTGATACAGGAGAGCAAAGATTCATATTCCCACCAAAATCAGAGAGTTTTTGTTCCCGAGAAAGCATAATTTGTACTGTTCTCATAAGATATTTACATTTTTTGCTTTGCATGTGTATTTTTGTGACGTGTCTTCTTTTCTCTGTGGCTGTGTGTTTTGCAGACCTTTACCAAAGTTGATACGTTAAACTGGGCATGAAATAGTGTTTCAACCTAAACAAATTTGCCTCCTTTGGGGGGGGGTCTTGGATGATGACCAAAGAAAGCAAAATTGGAGAGCTTTCGTTATGGTATAAATGTGTCATGCAGGAGTGTTGTTTTATTTAACCATTCCCCAAAGGCCTTATTTTAGTGCTTTATAAGCTAATTCGTCTGAGCAGCTCATGCTGTTTTGCCCCACTGTTCTGAAAGCCTCAGAGGAGCTATTTATAGCTCTTGTGATGAAAACCTTTAGGGTGTTTTGTTTTTTTTAATTTGTGAAAAGTCCTATAATTGTTTCTTTTCTGAAATATCGGATCATAAACAGCTCTACTGCTTAGGGAGCCAGAATCAAAATATCCCTCCCAAGTCAGAGTAATTTTTAAGAAGTCCTGGGAGATATTCAGTGTCAGATAAAAATAAATATATGGGAATTCTTTGTATTACATGAATGTTAATACAAATTTCTTGGAATTGTAGTGAACCCCACCTTCAGAAAGAAGCCAGAAGCTGCTATTAGACTATTTCTATATTTAATGTCATTGTTATCTTATTCAATAAAATAAAATCCTATGAAATAGGATTGTTCTTTAGCAGACTGGAAGACTGGAAATGTAAAAAGGAGGCTAGGAGAACTTATGCCCTCTGACGTATACTAGCTCTCTTTAGTACTTAAAAATGCTCATCTCCAAGGTGAAGCTATCCCCCCCAATTCCTGTAATAAAGAATTTCAAAACCAGTATGCTTTGCTGTTAATTGAAAAGGTGAAATTTAAATAAAGCAAATATCAAATGGCACTGACCTAAAATTACCATGGTGCAGGAGAGGCAGAAATCTCTCTGTGTTTGGATTCATACCCTAAAATTGTGGGCTTGTAATTTTTTTAAAAAAAATAAATCTTCTTCCTGTCCATGTAAGCTAAATTGTAATTGATTCCAGAACCACTAACATCAAACCTGCAAATTAAAAAGATAAAATAAACAAAAAGGATATCAAAGCCTCTTGGAACAGAGCAAGTCAATGAAATCCTTGTTATATTGCAACTTTAAAAAGGCAGCTGAAGGTTGATGTATTCATGAAAATGGCAGCTTTTAGTTATTGACCAAGGAAAGGGCCATTGGAAAAGCAGAATTTTGAATGCAATCCAGCATCTGTCCAGAAACAGCGGAACTGCTTAAACTGAATCGCTCTGTTCTCCATTGGAAGCTGCAACTGAAAATTTGTATGTACTGCATGACGGGGCAATTTATTCTGTTATGCTCTCCTAATATCTTGACAGTGAGCTTTTTCAAGGAGGAAATGCATTCATCAATGCTGTGTCTCAGTTTGGATTTAAAATGGCACCCATAGAGCATTGCAGCATCAATTGCCTTTCTACTATTTTTTTTTTAATATTTTTTTTTTGCTCAGAAGAAATTATTTTTAACAAAATGCAAATTCCATTTTTAGGACTAGTTCTTCTGGAGTATCAACTTAGTTAATTATCCTTAGTGCATAGTGAATGGCCTCCTTTGTTAATAGCAAAAAATTCCGGGTGGGTGGGTGGGTGAGGAGGGTGGGAATGCAAGCTGCACTTGAACAGTTATAATCTCCCATTCAAAGGCTGATCTGCATCAATGTATGGATTGTTTTAAGAGCTGTGCTGCTGGCAGTGGCTGTAATATTGTGCGACGCACCCAGAGGGAGAGTTTTAAAAGGAATGTAGCATTTTTCTTTCCAGTCCAAATTTGTTTGTGTTCCAACCTTTCACGTTGTGTTTGTTTTCCTAAAAGAAAACTGATTTAATAACAATCCATTAAAGTTGAAACAGTAAAAAAAACAAAAAACCATGGCAAATAATCCAGTGGGTTTGCGTCTTATTTAAAACACGTAATTAGTATCTAGTCCACTATGGTTGCCGGTGAGTAGGTCATCTGCAAGGATGTGAACTGTATACAAAAGTAATTTTGTTATTGTGCAGCTGATTTACTGTCAAGGAGATAACCAGGTTGTACAGTATGATGTCACCAGATAATTTGCAGTGCCCTGTCAGGTTCCTCCATTCAAAAGTGAATCAGTTGGCATTCAGTCTCCAATTTCCATAGACTGAAATGCAATAGCAATAGCACTTAGACTTATATACCGCTTTACAGCCCTCTCTAAGCGGTTTACAGAGTCAGCCTATTGCCCCCAGCAATCTGGGTCCTCATTTTACCGACCTCGGAAGGATAGAAGGCTGAGTCAACCTTGAGCAGGCCAGGATCGAACTCCTGGCAGTGGGCAGTGAGTTAGCCTGCAATACTGCATTCTAAGCACTGGGAAGGAAGGAAGGAAGGAAGGAAGGAAGGAAGGAAGGAAGGAAGGAAGGAAGGAAAAGAGCACTTAGACTTATATACCGCTTCATAGTGCTTTCCAAACTCTCTAAGCAGTTTACAGAGTCAGCCTGTTGCTCCCAACAATCTGGGTCCTCATTTTACTGACCTCCGAAGGATGGAAGGCTGAGTCAACCTTGACCCGGTCAGGATCGAACTCCTGGCTGTGGGCAGTGAGTTAACCTGCAATCCTGCATTCTAACCACTGCACCCCCAGGGCTCTTAATGCAAAAACAAAACTTCTCCATAAGGCAGATGGTGTCAAAGCGAAAGAGTCTGACCCCCTATCACCTAGGCTTATGTTTCTCACGACAAAGGGATTAAATTCTCACCTTTCCTCCTCCCTCGCCCTCCCCTTTTTCTTGTGTTTTTCTAAGGTTCCTGTTGCATGCAAGTCCTGCCCATGTGGATATATATTTATCAGTCGGAAGCTCCTGAATGCAAAACGTTCTGAAAAGCTGCCTTCGTCTGCAGGTAATTTTTCCAATTCACTTAGTTTGGTTGGGCTTCAAATAGTGGTAGTCCTCGACTTTACGACCAAGTTTCTGTTGCTAAGTGAGAAAATGGTTAAGTGAGTTTTGCCCCATTTTACGTCCTTTCTTGACCCAATCACCGTGGTTGTTAAGTTCCCCATGGACTTTGCATGTCAGACGGTCGCAAAAGGGGATCAAATGACCCATCATCGATATAAATCAGTTGCCAAGCGTCTGACTTCTGATCACGTGACCATGGGGATGCTGCGACGGTCGTTAAGTGTGGACAACGGTCTTCAGTCATTTTTCTCAGTGCTGTTGTAACTTCGGTCACTAAATGAACGGCCGTAAGTCGAAGACTACCTGTATGCTTCTGCTCCTTAAAGGCCCTGCCATTCATTCAGGAGAAATGTTGGAATCGGCAGCATCTGTGGACAAGGCGTCCGCCATCTTGTCAGTTTTGACAGACGGTCCCTCCCCAGAGGCTGAGTGTTGAAATGTCATTTTGTCCCAGAGAAAGTTGCCTGTAAGTTTTGGAGTATAGGTAGCCCTTGACTTACAACAGTTCATTTAGGGACCATTGGAAGTTGCACAGTGGCATTGAAGAAAGTGACTTACGACCGGTTTTCACACTTACGACCGTTGCAGCAGGTCCCGGGATCAAAATTCAGTTGCTTGGCAACTCGCTCACATTTATGATGGTTGCAGTGTCCCGGGGTCATGTGACCTCCTTTTGTGACCTTCTATACTTGAAGGACTAGACCAGGGGTAGGCAACCTTGGCTCTTTTATGGACTTCAACTCCCAGAATTCCTGAGCCAGCCACGCTGAGGGGAAAGGGAGAGGTTTCCAAGCTGAGCCATGCTGGCTCAGGAATTCTGGGAGTTGAAGTCCACGAGTCATAAAAGAGCCAAGGTTGCCCACCCCTGGACTAGACATTCAAGCATCCTGTGTCAAAAATAGTGATATTTTGTATTTTGATTTCAGATTAGAGCCATTATTCCTTAATTAACCTTTTATACAGGTAGTTCCCAGTTTAAGAACGGGTTCCATTCCCAAGACTGTCCTGAAGGCAAATTTGTATGCAAGCCGCAATTTTATTGTATAATATTGTATAAGCAGGATTCTGGAATTAACTTGAAACGTTGTGCATTTAATTGGAATTTTGCTACAATACATTTCATTCTTAAATATAAGGCATGCCTGAATTAGGGCATTCTTAACCCCAGACTTGCTGTATACAAATAGTCCTTGACTTACAACAGTTCATTTAGTGACCGTTCAAAATTACAACGGCATTGAAAAAAGTGAGTTATGACCGTTTTTCACACTTAACGACCATTGTAGGATCCCCAGGGTCACGTGATCAAAGTTCAGACGCTTGGCAACTGACTCACATTTATGACGGTTGCAGTGTCCCGGGGTCATGTGATTCCCTTTTACGACCTTCTGACAAGCAAAGTCAATGACAAGCAGATTCACTTAACAACCATATGAGTAACTTAACTGCGGTGATTCACTTAACAACTGTGGCAAGAAGGGTCGTAAAATGGGGCAAAACTCACTGAACAACTGTCTCGCTTAGCAACAGAAATTTTGGGCTCAGTTGTGGTCGTAAGTCAAGAACTACCTTTATTAGACATTATTAATGTGCTGGAATATCGTTCTCCTTGTATCGGCACTCGACTTCAGAAATATTCTTTCTTCTTGGGCTTTGCTCATTTTTATTTTTTCTTTCTTCTCCATACATTCTTAAACTGTTTTGTTTCACCGGTTGGGCTCCTTTCTATTGGCAGACAAGAATATATTTGTCTTTTCTCCTTCCTTTCACTTTCCTGGTTTCTGTTTCTATTTTTCTCTTCTTTTGTTTCTCTCTTTGGGGCTTGGCAGTCTGGATTTCCTTGCAGGTTAACATTCTTCTGTTGGGGGGAAAAAAAAAACCCTGCTTTAAAGCATCTTTTACGAAAAACAAGTTTGTCCAACTTCCAAAATAAGGAACAGTTCACGGGTAACTTGATTTGTGACGATGTTCTGCTTTTGCGCGCGAAAGAAAGCCTACAGGTTCGGCGTTCCAGCCAATTGTCAAGCTAAAGGAGCTGAAGAGTAAAATACAGGACGGAGCAAAGATCTCAGAACAATTCCAGATCTGATAACGTGTGTATGTGTGTGAATGTGTGTGCTTTGAAAATGTCTCGTCACAGAAAGCAGAAGTGACGCTAAGAGAAGACGCACCGAGAGGGTCAAACGAGAGAAGATAAATCCAGCGGTAAATAAAGACTTAGAAAACAGGAAAAGATCCAGATCACACAGTCAGTCAGATCACAGCAGAAGAGGAAGAGGACGGCCTAAGGCAGCTTCATCTAAAAAGCATGATGAAGAGAAAGGTACGAAAATTCATTGTTGGGTTGACCGTAATTTTTTTTTTTTAATAAGATAACCTCCATAGTTTTGTAAATTAGAACTTAGACTGGCCCCCGCTCTTTCGTAAGGCCCTGCTTTTACCTGTGTGGAACCCAGAGTGGGATGGAGCCCATTAAATGGTTGATTTGAGTGCGTGAGTGGTCGCCGGGTTGGGGATACCGGGGGATTATTATTGTATTATTATTATTTTTTACTTTTTATTACTTTTATTTCTTTCTATATTGTGTTCTTATTATCTGTAAGCCGCCTAGAGTCGTGGTGAGCAAGTGGGCGGTTATATAAATGATCTAAAATAGATAAATAAAATAAGCGATGCTTAAAATAGGTACTCTTCCAATATGTTCCTTTAAAAAAAAACACATTGGTCTAGTGTTGACCATGATGGCTGGTGGATGATGGGAGTGAAGGCAATGTACCCGGAGGGTAGTGGGTGGTCAAAGGCTAATACACTACAGGTAGTCCTCGACTTAACGACCGTTTTTGTGACCAAAGTTACAACGACAACTGGAAAAAGTCACGTATGGCCAGTTTGCACACTTCCGATCACTGTAACATCCCCGTGGTCGTGCAATCAAAATTGGAGTGCTTGGCAACTGGCGTGCATTTATGACAGTTGTGCTGTCGTAGGTCACATGATCACTGCTTGTAAACCTTCCCAGCCTGCTTTCGACAAGCAAAGCCAATGGGGGAAGCCAAATTTGCTTAATGACTGCATGATTCATTTAACAACTGGAGAGATTTGCTTAACAACTGTGGTTAAAAAAAAAAGCTCATAAATCTCTCTTAACAACTGCCTTGCTTAGCAACAGATATTTTGGGCTGAATTGTGGTCCTAGGTCAAGGACTTCCTGTATTTTTGAGATGGATGCCTCCAGACCTGGTTCTCACATTAGGCTAAGTCATGATTTAACCATGGCTTATGGAATAAGACTCAGTTGTTTTGCACAACTAGTTGCACTGTAAACCATCATTTGGATGCCACGGTCACTGAATTGATAAGTCACGTTATTGTTTATTTATTACTTATTGTTTATTTGAACCCAATCTTAGATAATATCAAACCCACTTTCAAGAAAGGTTGAAGCTTTTCCTAGAACTAGCAGTCAGTCCAACATAATTGGAAAACCAAATTCAATCTCTACTGAAATTATGCCATGGTGGCCCAGTGGTTAGACTGTAGTATTGCGGGCTAACTCACTGCCCACTGCCAGGAGTTCGATCCTGACCAGCTCGAGGTTGACTCGGCCTTCCATCCTTCTGAGGTTGTTAAAATGAGGATCCCGATTGTTGGGGGCCAAATATGCTGACTCTGTAAATCACTTAGAAGAGGCCGTAAACCACTGTGAAGCGGTATATAACTCTAAGTGCTATTGCTACTCATGACTTCGGAATACAGAAAAATCACAGAGGATGAAATTTCAAGCAATTTACTACAAAATTACTTTTCTAAAGAAAAGGTACCCATCTAACCTGATGGAGCCAGGATGACCCTGTTTTACAACTTTATTTATTGTACGCTCATTAACGCAATGTGACTTTTACTGGCTACGACAGGGACCTCTTTGGCTTCTTCACCAAGCCTGGAGGCATCTGATGCACCTTGTCAGAACAAGTCGGATTTCTTGCCTAACTCAACAAGCTCCTGCTTGCGTTAGCACTCAGTGTAATGGCAGTTTATCCTTGCATGCTCAATTCCTAGCTATTTCCACTTCAAAGACCCAGGGCTTGATTCACGCAGCGTCTTTTCTCCCACAGAGAAACAAGAAAAAGAAGTGGACATGTACGCAAACCTCTCTGACGAAAAAGCATTTGTATTTTCGGTGGCCTTGGCAGAAATAAACCGAAAAATTATCAACCAGAGACTTATCCTTTGACGATGGGGTCCGTGACCTTTGCATGCCATGCTGTTGAAGCCCAGGTAGTGGATTCCAGATCTTCTGCAGCCTCTCAGGTGGTGGAGGCTGTTAACCTGGGTCAGTCAAGGGTCATTCGCTTTTTTTTCCTGGCTGAACCTCTGCTTCTCGTGATCGCTTTCGAAGCCGACCAATTGTCAAGAATGAAAAGGACCAACTCTTTGCTTTTGTGGAAGGGGCAGGCAGGGATGTCCGAAGCAGCACCCCTTCCCTCGGCAGAGACAGCTGGAAGGACCTTTTTGCAGTGTCTTTAATTTAAAATGTCCTTCACTGCAGATTTTTTTTTCAGTTAACGTTGAACTTCCTTTGTATATAGATAGTCAAGCTTAACCTGTACATAAATTGATATGCTGGCATTTTCCTGAAATCCACAGATTGCGAAATCAATTGGTGGGTTAAGCTGAAATTATTATTATATAATACGTTATTGGTTTAAGCGTCGTTTCTGCGTCGGTCTAAACTTTGACCAAATGGACGGGTGAGACTGTAACCATAGAAACACGTGGGAATAAAATGCGTCGAGCTCATTGGGATGGGAGGAAGCTGGCATGTATTCCTGCCGGTAGGCTTTTATAAAAAGCTTATTTTATACACAGCCTTTGGTGTCTGGGGTTTTAAAATCCAGGCTTATTTTGGCAGGCACCGGCTCAAATGAAAGCTGGTCTATGATTTCATATGGAAATTGTCTTCTAAATTTGATTTGCATTAGCCGTGTTGAGAACGCCTCCGTGTCAATTAAAAGAATTTGAATTAAGACATCCCATGTTTGCAGTTGGAGTGAAATAATGGAGACTCTTTTACTTCTTCTTTTTTTTTTTAGTTTTTAAATCTATTCACTGAACTTTACATTTCCATTCCCAAACGCTGCTAAACTATGTTTTGTATGAAATAAGAGACGCTCTCGTGTGGGACCGTCTCAATAGCAGTTCTGATGTCGAACACAATGCGATTTCATTTTGATGTTTTGTTTTGATTTTTAAAGGGGGGAGAGGGTGTTTCCCTCAAGTCTTCTCCAGAGATATTCAGAAATCAGATCATATTTTTAAATAGGAGAGCTCAAATCAGACGTCCCTTTTTCTGGAGCTTCTTTTTCCATTGTTGCAAGATCTATTGATTTTTCACCTTGTGCAAATCTTGGCATGCAACCCTGGCTCTGTCAGTACAGAGAGTTTTTACCCCCAAATGTATCACCTAATTAACTTGTCTAATTAACTTGTCAGGGCAGCGGGTGAGAGGTGTACCTGGTTTTGGCCTAGAAGAAGGACACGGGGCCACGTGGATGTACCTGTTATCCACCTTTACCTGCTTAAAATCCCTTTTATTGGGCATACATACCCCTGTGACTAAGTGGGCCCAGTTAATGGTGCCACGAAGAGAGAATGCACAAGCTACTTCATCCAGAGCTGTTGACAACCACACCAAAAATAATAAAAAAATTAAAGAATATATGTACTGTTCCCCCCCCATTCCATTCATGTTTTTTTCTCTGCTGCCTCTAAATACATTGTTAGAAGTTAAAAGCTGCCCCCCCCTCCTTTTAGCCAGGTTAGGCTGATAAGGGAAATTTTTTATGTCCGTATTCCAGTTTGACCACCTCGTAATCAATCCACACCTACGGAGGAATCCACATCGCCAAGGGCAATCTTCCTTTTCGACTGCACACAACCTCAGGACAGCATCCGAATGTACAGGTAACCCTCAACTTATAACCGTTCATTTAGTGACGGTTTGAAGTTAACAGCGGCGCTGGGACCATTTTTCACACTTACGACCAACATCCCCAGGGTCACGTGATCAGAATTCAGCCACGTGGCAACCGACTCATATTTATGACGGTTGCGGTGTCCCGGGGTCATGGGATCACTGTTTGCGACCTTCCGACGAGAAACTTCAGTGGGGCAAGATAGATTCATTTAGCAGCCATGTTATTAACTTAATCACTTAACAATTGTGGCAAGGAAGGTAAAATGGGGCAAAATTCACTTAACAACTATCTCGCTTAGCAACAGAATTGTCAGGGTCGTAAGTGGAGGACTGCATGTAGGCATGCAACACACGCCTCGGGGTCAAAGCCCAGGGTAGGAGCACCTGAATCTGCACCTCTAAACATCAAAGCCCTCTTGTCATTATATATAATTTTACTGGCAAACCCCTAATGATGTAGGCTACCTTCAACCATTGTACGTGTTAAATGAATAAACTACTTCTAAGAATCTGCCACTTGTATTCATTCGTGGCCTGGCTTAGAAAATTGGAGCAGGAAAATTCTTGTAACAAGATCTGCACACACAAACACACATAATATATGTTCGCGCACGCACACCCCCGTCAAATTTATTTGGTAGATGTATGCTGCCTTTATGTGCTCTTGTGGCAGCTGTTCCTATTTTTCCCAAATAAGGAAATGAATTAGAAAAAAAACCCATATAGGGATGAAATAAACTTGTTGCTCTTAAATGTGGTTGAAGTAATCCTTCCCAGCTGGGGCCATGGTTTATATTAACGAACATTGTGTAGAACTTATGTGGCTGTAGTTCCGTTTTCCTACCTACTTGTATGACTGACACACACACACCCCTGCTGCAATCCCATTGATTTTTCATGCCTTTGCTTTGAGTTCTTCCAAAGTATTCATTCAGAAGATTTTTTTTTTTAAAAGCACATTTTTTTTGTTCTTAAGAACCTGAGGTTATGCTCTTTTAACTTCGGACTTTATACATTTTCCCACAAGGGGAAGGAGTTGGCTCCAATTTCTTGCTTATAAAGCTGAGATTTTGTATGATTCTTTAGCTCATAACAGCTGCACACTCACGTAAAAACTTCTGACTTTATCCCTGAAGATTGAAAAAATGGCTCTCTCCCCTAACCTGATGGAAATAAAATGGGATGGAAAAAAAAGAAGTAAGTGGTAAAATAGTGGTCCTTTGAAATCAGAAGGAAAGAATATCCAAGCTTGATCTGCTACACGCCTTCAGAAAGTTCATAACAACGGGAGGGGGGGAAAAAAAGCAGCCAACATCTTTCTTAGACATGTAGTCCTTGACTTACGACCATAATCTAATCCACACTTTGGGTAAATCGTGGGTCACCAGGTGAACACGTCCATTTTTTTGCAGCCTTTTTTGCAGCGATGCTTAAGCAAACCCTTTGTTCGCTAGGGGGCAGTTTTTTGCCAAGTTGTGATTTCTGACCGAAAATGTCATAAATTGTCACTGGTGCTGCAAATGGCCCTAAATGTAGACAGGTTGCAAAGCACCCAACATATGGTCATGTGACCATGGGGGAGGGGGCAGATGTTGGAAATTTGAGTACAGGGTTATGTTGTTAGTTGCGAAGTCGTGTCTAACCCATCGCGGCCCCATGGACAACATTCCTCCAGGCCTTCCTGTCCTCTACCATCTTCTGGAGTCCATTTAGGCTCACGCCTCCTGCTTCAGGGACTCCATCCAGCCACCTCATTCTCTGTCTTCTTCTATTGCCACAGGGTTATAAGTCCCATTTTTGGCTTCTGTTGTAACTTTGGGCACTACGTTGAGGACGACCTGTAATCTGCCTTTATTTTTCTCAGATAAGGCTAGCCCTATTTGGATCAAGGAGAAGGGGACTGGAGGCTAAAACATGTAAAGAATGGTTGCTGGAATTGGGTATGTCTAGTTTAACGAAGAGAAGGACGAGGGGGGACAGGATAGCAGTCTTCCAATATCTCAGGGGCTGCCACAAAGAAGAGGGAGTCAAGCTATTCTCCAAAGCCCATGAAGGCAGGACAAAAAGCCATGGATGGAAACTCATCAAGGAGAGAAGCAACCTGGAACTAAGGAGAAACTTCCTGACAGTTAGAACAATTAACCAATGGAATAACCCGCCTCCAGAAGTGGTGAATGCTCCAACACTGGAAGTTTTTAAGAAGAGACTGGACAGCCATTTGTCCGAAATGGTATAGGGTTACCTGCCTGAGCAGGGGGTTGGACTAGATGACCTCCAAGGTCCCTTCCAACATCATAATCATCATCATAATCATCATCATCGCGTAGATAATGGTATAGGTCTGAAATGGTATAGGGTTTCCTGCCTGAACGGGGTTGGACTAGATGACCTCCAAGGTCCCTTCCAACATCATCATCATCATCATCATCATTATTATCATCATCATCATCATCACGTAGATAATGGTATAGGTCTGAAATGGTATAGGGTTTCCTGCCTGAGCAGGGAGTTGGACTAGATGACCTCCAAGGTCCCTTCCAACATTCTTCTTCTTCTTCTTCTTCTTCTTCTTCTTCTTCTTCTTCTTCTTCTTCTTCTTCTTCTTCTTCTTCTTCTTCTTCTTCTTCTTCATCATCATCATCATCATCATCATCATCATCATTATTATTATTATTATTATTATTATTATTATGAAAGCCTGCTGTAGAATTGGAATAGTGGAAGGTCCCCCCGTCTTCCTCCCTAGGGTCATCCATATTCCAAGTGGGTCTGTGACAATTTGCCACGGCCAACTCACTACAGGACAACTCAACAACGGCCAACTTGCCCGTGTGACAACTCGCTGCGGGACAAGAGTTATACTAATATCAAAGAAATGGTGGAATAGAATCATTGAGGAGTGGATGCAAAAGGAGGGACGGGATGAAACGTGAATGGCAAAAGTTGAAATAATTTTGATTTATTTTAAAAGAATTAAGTAGAACGGCTAAAATCGTCCCGTGGCAAATTGTCCCATCCTCTTCCAAGTGGATTTATCCTTCGGCTGGTTGTTATTCTCTTCTTGCCTTTCCATCTTCTGGCACAAGGTGGCGCTGCTTTCCACAAGTGAGCCCAACATTTCCATTGCTAACCAAGATGCCTCTTAAAGCGAATTTTGTCCCATTTTGTGACTTTTCTTGTTACAGTTGTTAAGTTAGTAACATGGTTGTTCAGCGGATCTGACTTTGCTTGTCAGAAGGTCACAGAAGTGGATCACGCGACCCCGGGACACGGCAGACCGTCATAAGTACATGCCTGTTGCCAAGTATCCGGATTTTGATCATGTAACCATGGAGATGCTGCAAGGATTGTAAGTGTAAAAAAAAACAAACAGTTCCAAGTCACTTTTTCCCCCCAGTGCCATTGTAACTTGGGACAGTCACTAAACAAATGGTTGTAAACTGAGGACTGCTTGTACTGTGGTTACTTGGTCATTTGCTCTGAAGAATAAAAGAAGCATTTGCTCCTGCCTAACTAAAGTGGCAGGAAGGAATGTGTGTTGAATTTTTCCAGACAACGTCTCCCTGAGATATTTTTCCTGTTTTTCCCTGCTGCTTCGATCCGTCATCCCAATTTTAAGAAAATGATCTTTCTGAAAATGACTTCTGAGGCCAGGAATCAACAAGAAACGGCAGGGTTAAATGTTTGCTAAGGAAATTCTAGTTGATCGGAACGCCTGCCTCTTCTTCATTCATTTACCTTGAATTGGAAAAAAAAAACAAATAAATCCTATTTTCCTATTATTGGGATTTTGAGATTTATCTTTGTCTTTAAACCTCAAGTTTATGCATGCCCGGAAGTGAGTATGGAGCCGGTGGAATGCTGTAATTAGAAATATAAACTAATGTGCAAATTCCTTTTGCAGTAGGTTTCCAGGAACAGACGTGTGTTCAGGGATCACCCGAAATGTGTTGCAATTTCAGTGAAATTGTCACAAGGAAGAAATTCTCAGCCCATTAATGAACTACCAAATTCCTCATTTGACAGAGTCCTTTTATTTTTCTGGACTAATGTT